CTATTTCCACCTGGCCTATAAACTTGAGTTCCAAAACCTGCACAAATTGGTTAAATAAACTCAGTTATTTCAATGAGAGTTCAGGATGTTGATTCCAGCAAGGTGTGAAAGGTGCCCGTAACTCTCTATTCAGAGGGAATAGAGCTCAAGAGGTGAGGCTTAGTGGGAAGGATTTGGAAATAAAAAGGAATACGGACAAAAATTAAGTTCAGCTTTCTCTTTGATAGTTACTTTTCAGAAACTTCCCCCAAATCTCAAACCAGCAGAGGTACTTGACCTCAAACAGCATTGGGTGGCATTGTCCTCTGCTGACACCAGCCCAACGCTAGATCGGAGAGCAGCCACTCTGCATCCCACCTACCCTTGGCAGTGCTGTGGGACTCTTGTTCCTATTACTTGAGCAAACTCTTCCATAATTCTACTTTACTTTTTCTTCTTGGTGGCCAGTAACTTCCTGTTTGTTCTCCTGATAAATACTAGAACTTCAGCTAAAAATGGAGAAGTTGTCTAGATGCTCTTATCTTATGAAACCTTGGCAGCGGGGTGCTGTGGTCCAGTTCCAGCAGGTCCCCCCAACAGTCAGAGAGGTCCGTCTGCAGCTACTTGCTGTGCCCTTCTGACGGCACTTACTGCCCCTCACACAGAGACAGCAGGAACGGACACTGCTTTACTGGCCTTTTGCAGTCTGGTACATTCATTTACACCTCTCTTTGTCTTCCCAGGCCAGACACTCCAAGAAGAAGTGTGCTAAAAAGTGCAAGGCTAAATTTTCCAACACAAGGTCCATTTTGGACTCTTGTTCTAGGGATGCTGACAAAGGATTGTGATTTTCAATAATGTTTGAAGAAACTAGTCACTCAAGTGGGAAACTTGCGGTTTTTTGAGCAAGTGGTCTTCCCCCATCGATTTGTGTAGTACTGAAGATTAAAAATAGCTCTTCAGCTGGGGTACAGCTGTGCAGCATTGACTTAAACGGAGCTGCACTGACTCACAACAAGCAAGCATCTGTACCTAGCCCTTTACTCCTGCAAACCACGTAACTTAACACTAACAGTAAGCAAATACTGGCGTGGCGTTCACGGGAGCCGGCAGGCAGGCTGGCTAACTGCCACTGCTGCTCCGGTGGGACAAACTACAGGACAGGGATTTGAGGACAGGTTGAAATTAGCTACCTATTAAAAATCCCATCTCCTTCTCCTTATCAGCGCATGAATGATGTGTCTTCTCATGGCACCAGTCTCTTATTTCCTTAGACGTCCTCTGTGCTTTCTTCCATGTCTTTTTTTTCGCCTCATAGTGACTTTTTGCACCGGCTGTAGTAGCTCCTTTGTTTTCTAGGCCATGATACCATTCTCCCTCCTCTCCAATAAAGAGAAAACAAATATTACCAGTCAGCGAGTAGATATATTTCCATATGAAAAGTATCAAAAGCTGGGTATTCATGGCTGACATCACAGAACTGGGATATGTGAACAACACCATCCTGAGCTTTCTGACTTTTAAAAATATTTTTAACAAACAGAAACATTTTTTTCCCTTGCAGCTCTGAATGCCTAATCTAAACCCCTGGTAGGATGTATTCAGCACTAACATAAGGCACTGCGAAACCCATCAAAACTGAAGCTGATTATCCTATGACATCGAATTTCTACAGAGGCTGATGCTCATGATCTGCTAATATCGATACCAAAAATCTCCAGTGGGGCCAGGTTTTCCTCCTGTGGGGCTGAGCATCAAGCTTTGCCTTAAACTTAGCATTTTTGGTCTAGAGCATGATGGACTTCACCTCTACCACCACCACTTCCTAGTTTTTGGTAGCAGCTTCTTCCTCTCTCACCCCCGCCCCATACCCAGCTCTCCCAGAGCTTCAGGGGTTCCCCGGCACCCCTCAGGCCCACACAGCCCCCACCGGTGAGAAAAACTGGAACCAAGTGGGGAAATGAGAGCAGCACGACTTTCAGGTCACACTTAGGGGACAAAGAACGGCAACACACCCCAAACGCTCTCCTGGGAGACTCCTTGCACAACTGCCTCTTTAGATAGGCTGACGTGGTGGATTCGTGGTTCAAGTATCAGACAGAGGGAAAAGCACCGTACGTGCTATTAAGCCACTATTAGAGTATTTGCCTGCTGAAGTGAAGCTAACCATGCTTTCTAATGAATTCTCTGCATTTAGCATTAAGCTCTCTGTTTTTACAGAAAGTTACCCTCGGGTAATTAATCTCATGTTCGTTTCCTGCACATGTAAGAGAGCAGCCTTTGTTAGGGAATGATAAGACACTTCTAAGAATAGTGCTACTAAGAGCATCAGCTTTGTAAGACATTACAAGAAAAATATAGGCTCTTAACACCTGCTTTTGCCTTTTCAAAGTTTTCAAAATAATGTTCTGGTTTCCTAGAGCCGAATTCTGACTTGTTTGTGTGTAGAAAATCTAATTGCTTTCATCAGAGAACAAGCGTAAATGAAGGTATACTTTGGTCTTTAGGCTCCAATCTCGAAAAGATGTATTTGTTTAATTTTGTAAACACTGTAAATATTCTCAGTGGCTTCAGTGGGACTATCTGCAGCTCCCAGTCTCACAACCTGAATTCATCACTTTGTCTGGTCTCTTAACTACAGATTCCACTGAAATTGTTTGGACTTTCTCAGTGCTTGTAACAGGTTGAGGATTAAGAATTCATCTGCGTGTAAAACAAGAGACCCTCAGGCCAGACCTTACAAAGCCGGGACACTGATCTCAGGGAAATATAAACTGGGAGAAAACCCCCGCGAGAGCAACTGAGTCTCTCCAGCGTTAAGAAAGGTCCCACCGAGCAGCAGACCAAGCCCGCATTTGAAGCTCCCTGGAAGCTTCAGCTCCGACCGTGGGTTTTGCCAGCTGAACACAAAGGGTGGTGTAAAGCTTGGGGATTTATGTATGTTGTCAGTTCGGACCCAGAGCCAACACCATTCTCCTGTAAGCGGTTGACACTTGACACCTACTGAAGTCAGTTTAAACAGTCATTGTTTTAAAGCTCGTGTTGTTTTTGAGCAGCCACCGTGGTTCAGCCTGAGCTATCTACCACCCCGGTGCGAGATGCACAAGCTGCCATGCTGATGAAACTATATAAAAAGTGGAAAAAAAGATAGTTTATAGTGGGTAATTTCTATTTGGTTTGTAGCATCCACTGTGCAACCAGTCATGTGAGAAAGGACACTAATCTTTGCTGTACTGGCAGCAGATTTCTTTCTGCTTTATTATGGACAAAGGAGTAGTTTATCCTCCTAACCAGAAAACAAAGCCTAATCTGCAGAGATCTGGCTAATCTAGTGGTTGATGTTTGAAGAATAACATAGACCAATTTCCCTGGGTTTTGTAGTGCAAAATCTGAGCAGAGCAGACTGCAACTAGTCTTGTGAGCTGATCAGAGCCCCTGTTGTGACTATTATCTTGCCTGTATAATGGGGGCTTTCAAATCACAGCTTTATCACATTCTGTTTTCTCTACTTTGCCCTTTTATGAATATTGAGTCATCAAAAATAGCTTCGCTGACAGAGTTACTAATGATACCAGCTGGGTGAATCAGTGGCTCTTACATTGTCTAGTGCCTGCTATACAGTGCTATTAGTACACTCGCTACAAAATATAACAAAAATTAGATAAGCATATTTTATTTGCAGCTCCCTTGAGACGCATCATAGTGGTTATTTTAGAATCGGAAAATGCTAACTGAACAAAGCAAATATTCAGCCATTCCGATGCAATACTGTGATCTAAAAGAAGAAACTCTGGCTTAGAATAAGTTAAAAGTAAATTCTAACATCAGTAAATTATCTTTTCTCCTAGTTTTTAGTGAAAAAAAAAAACAAACAACACACTACCAAGTGATATCTACTACATTCTTCACGAGGCAGTTATTCCTCATGTTGCTGGAAAAAGCCAGCATCAGCAGTCCAGAAAAAATGCTGATAACCAGAGGTGAATACGACAAATGATGTCAGCTATGCATACGGCTCGGGAGTGTGGCAGACACATATGGTGGCATCCTTCTAGTCCAGTGCAGTGCTCTGGGGTAAGTTAGGTTAGAAGTGCATGACTCAAACGAGTATTATCGATTCCAAAAGTGTAACAACAATAACAACGCGCCTGATGAAGAACCATCACAAATGAGTATGCAAAATGGCCCACGACGGGCTTACATTTTTAATGTTGCCCCAAGCAATTTTTTAAGGGTCATTTATTTCTACCGGGAACGCCTTCCTCGCAGCCCCGCAATGATACAGTTTCCCATGTTTGCAACACACACCCTTTTTTTTTTTTTTTTTTCTTTTTTTTTTTTTTTTCCCCAGAAAAAACAGGCCGGCAGATACAGAACGAAACAAGGGGCCCCCTTTACACATAATGCAGTTGCAGCTCTCCATGCACACAGTGCTCGCTTCTTCTCGCCAGCCCCCTTCACCTTGCAGCTATCAGGAACTTTGCAGCATGGCATCTTCCAGCTCCTCCTTATCGCAGACAAAAAGTAAAGCTTTCTGCTAGCAACCGCATCTGGCACGTTAAATCGGTAAATTAAACTATCGCAGATGTTGCCTTTAGCAAGTGTCATAGACATTACAGAGCATCTTAACAAAGCAGAGACTCAGAATTTAAAGTATTAGGTGGGTTTTTGTCAGGAGGTTCTTGCCCTTCCCTGGAAAAGTGACATCTGAAATTCTGTTACAACAATTCTGTTAGTTACGGCAACATTAACTGAAACTGAAATGTGGTTTTTAACCTAAGATACGTTGCATAACAACTGAAGTATTATAATCTTACGAGCCGGGAAAGGTTAATTCCAAAGGGCACAAGAATATCGGCGAAAACTAAAATATTCCAGAAGCGCACGGACTGGTAAATCTTTTTGTTTTGGTCCAAGGCGAAGCCGAAACACGCGAGACGTTTCAAAGGCAGAGTAAGACACGGAGCACATGCCGGAATCCGCTTAGCGAGGAAAAATATCGGCAGAGCCTCTGCACTTACGTATCTCTTGAGTTTCTTCTCGGGGGGCGATTTAATGAGCCATCCGGTGCAAACGACGTCCCCAGAGCTCATCTTCCCCCCCGGCGCGGAGCGGCGACGCGGGAGCCAGGGTGCGAGCTGCGTGTGCGTGTGTGTGAGTGTGAGTGTGAGTGTGCGAGTGTGAGTGTGCGTGCGTGTGAGCGTGTGCGCGCGCGCGCGTGTATTGTTCCCAGCCAGTTTGAAACCAGCAGTAATCAGCTTCCTTCAGCTGGGCTCTGACACTGCTCCAGCCCGAGGAGGAAGTCATGACATTGATCACTGACACGGCCAGCCCTCCCTCCGCCGCCAACACAATGCAACACACCGAGCACGTGATGGGC